TTGTGATGAAATGATAAAGGATTTAAAAATCGCGAATTTGTTTTAAAAAATCCATTAATGGATCAATAATTATTAATCTATCTTAATTAGTTTAAAACCACGTTGATTCTCCGTCGAAATAACTTAAATTAAATAAAAATAATAATTTTTGTTTTTAAAAATATTCCAAAACTTTTTGTCGGCCCATTAAAACGGGCCAACTGTTCCTTATTAATTATCACTATATTTTCATATTTTCTTAAAAATTTCGTCATCTGTTCACGTGATAATGACGTCATTTATTGGTTATCATCGACCTAAGTTAATAATTGGTCGTGTTTTGGTGAATTTTGAGACGTCGAAAAATGGTTGAAATGTAACTTCGACCAAATTCGACCCAATTCGTCGACGATTCTACGTGATTTCTACGACCCTGTGTTGCCTGGGTTACTGCAGTTGACAATCACAATTTTAATTTTAGTAAAATTATTTATCTACAGTGTTGCCAGATGTTTTATAATTTTCTTTTTTAAAATAGTAAAATTTAAATAATAATCGATAATTGTAACATAATTTAATCCGCCGCGTAGTTTTGCTTGTTTTTATACAATTTTTGTTTTAATAATTTTATATAATTTTCTGTAAATTTGATCATTTTGTCAACCCTCTTCGATAATATTAATTTTTACACCTGGCAACCCTGTTTCTCTTTGGCCTTGGGTAAGTTGGCACTACTTACAAAGCGAGGGAACGTTTATTCCTAAAAAACAATATGGTTGATTCAAGCCTCCAACTTTTATAATCTGTGGCATTTATATTTACATAGAACAAACCATATACTGATAATACTTTGGCTGTGTCAGGTAGGTCAATTTTTGTTTGTTTATTAATGTTTTAATTACTCAGTATATTCCGTAACGAAGTCATAACACATAAATGAAGTACCTACATAAGCTCCTAAAATATTGACCTGTCATCCCAGGCAACACAGGGTCGTTGAAATCACGTAGAATCGTCGACGAATTGGGTCGAATTTGGTCGAAGTTACATTTCAACCATTTTTCGACGTCTCAAAATTCACCAAAACACGACCAATTATTAACTTAGGTCGATGATAACCAATAAATGACGTCATTATCACGTGAACAGATGACGAAATTTTTAAGAAAATTTGAAAATATAGTGATAATTAATAAGAAACAGTTGGCCCGTTTTAATGGGCCGACAAAAAGTTTTGGAATATTTTTACAAACAAAAATTATTATTTTTACTTAACACATTCACTGCCCACCCCAAAAAAGAGTATTGCTTCAGGTACCACCTAAATTTTTCTTCATATTTTTTTATTTAAATAAGTGCATCTTGTTTCAAATAAATTCTAGTATAGGTTTTCAATTTTATTTTTTGCAAAAAACAAAAAACGCACCAGTTGTGGGCACTGGTTGAGTGATAAACCATGTTCAGTGCCTATAAACATAAACATAAATCATAATAACGCGTTCTTGTTAATAAAATGGGAAAATCTTGTAAAATAATGTTATTTATTATTAAGAACGCGCCTAGCGCGGTGTGGGCATATGGCCGCAGTACTTGTAAACGCGCCACGCGCGTTTTGGGCAGTGAATGCGTTAATTTACGTTATTTCGACGGAGAATCAACGTGCAATATTTTATTAAAATAATTTTAAACATTATTTGGTTAAACTAATTAAGATAGATTAAACTAATTAAGATAGATTAATAATTATTGATCAATGGATTTTTTAAAATAAATTCGCGATTTTTAAATCCTTTATCATTTTATCACAAAATAAGAAATTAACATGTTACTGCAGTTGACAATCACAATTTTAATTTTAGTAAAATTATTTATCTACAGTGTTGCCAGATGTTTTATAATTTTCTTTTTTAAAATAGTAAAATTTAAATAATAATCGATAATTGTAACATAATTTAGTAGTTTTGCTTGTTTTTATACAATTTTTGTTTTGATAATTTTATATAATTTTCTGTAAATTTGATCATTTTGTTAACCCTCTTCGATAATATTAATTTTTACACCTGGCAACCCTGTTTTTCTTTGGCCTTGGGTAAGTTGGCACTACTTACAAAGCGAGGGAACGTTTATTCCTAAAAAACAATATGGTTGATTCAAGCGTCCAACTTTTATAATCTGTGGCATTTGTACTGTCCGTTCAGGCTAAGTTGAGCGGTCTAAGGAATGTCACCCCGTCCATCATCTCTATGTTCAGGCACAATTAAATACATGTATTTTGGTAGCCGCTCTGTATGAACAAATAGCAAGCCGCGGCACTAATAAATCATCTCCTTGTTACCGAAATATCGCGACGATTCGATGTTTAATTTAATTAACGGCCACATGATTCCCCACCAAAGCGCTCAACTTAGGCTGAACGGACTGTACATAGAACAAACCATTTATACTGATAATACTTTGGCTGTGTCAGGTAGGTCAATTTTTGTTTGTTTATTAATGTTTTAATTACTCAGTATATTCCGTAACGAAGTCATAACACCTAAATGAAGTACCTACATAAGCTCCTAAAATATTGACCTGTCATCTGTCTTAAAATTTAATGTGTTTGATTTTATAATAAATGTTTTGAGCAACTTAAAACATGTTTTATTAATTATTAAACCAAAAGCCCTTTATGCACTGGTAAAAATAATTATTTATTCTTATATCCGATATTTTAATGCCAGATATATGTATGTGTTTCTGCAAAGATTAACTAACAAATTTTTTTTTTGATATTCTACTTTTTTACATACATTTATTTTGATTATTAATTATTTACTAAATATATATCTACTATAGTAGTATAAGGTAGTGGCACCCATTTCTGACACCCCCCCCAATAACTGACACTTTATATTTAAACGCTGTTTATTTAATATTTAAAACGTATTAATACACCAGTAAATAATTTTAATATATGTTCTTATGTCCCAATTGACCACTTATGTTGGCAACAGTGACGCGGAAAACCCCGCCCATAATATAACCCCACTTTAAGTTTGATATGTCAACCGTCTTGTGAAGTGGCTTCATTTTCTTAAGCTTATAGCTAAGGAATTGTGAAGCTCTATGTAGCCAAGTAACGATATTTATTACCACAGGTAAGTGCCATTGTCCCCAGCGGTACTATTTCTATTATATTTTGTCATAAAATTGTCCAAAACCCTCTAACCTACAAATTTAAGGTTATAGAGGGGGTGTCAGGTATAGGATCCCATATATGAACATTTTCCAATACCTGACACACCATGTCAGATACCGGTTCCATAATAAATTCTACTTGATTTGTAAATTTTAGTTGTTTTGGGATATTATTTACTGATATATAATAGTAATTTTATGTTTAAATACTTTAACAATTATTTTCCAAAAGCTGACAGCACTGTCAGCTATTGGTAACACATAAGTCAGCTATTGGATATTTTTTATTTTTAGTTTTCGCGGTTATCGGTAAGATGCCTAAATATTCAAAAGATAATTTGGTAGAAGCTCTGCAGGCTGTTGACACAGGTACCCCTATAGCTACAGCAAGTAAACGATTTGGGGTACCCAGAACCACTTTATTGTATAAAAAAATTGGAAAGTATCCTCGAGAATGCCGAAAGGGACCTCCTACAATTTTAACTGCATATGAAGAGGACTCACTTGTAAGATGGCTCTTTCACATTGCAGATCGTGGATTTCCAGCCACAAAGTTAAGACTTATTGAATCAGTGGAAATCTTGATTAAACATACCAAACGTCCAAATAATTTTACTGATGGTCGTCCTGGTAAAAAATGGTTTAGTTCGTTTTTAAAAAGGCATCCTGAAGTTTCTCAAAGGATATCGCAAAATCTAAGCACTGGAAGGTCTGCAGTTACTGAACAAAAAATAAGAGACTGGTTCACTGAAATTAAAACTTACTTGGAGGAAAAATTGGGTAATAATTTAAGTATATTTGATGATCCCAAGAGAATATTTAATGCTGATGAATCCGCGTTTTTTCTCTCTCCGAAAGAGAACAAAGTTTTGGTTCGGAAAGGCCAATCAACTGTATACAACTTTACCCCAAATGATGACAAGGAATGTATTACGACCCTACTTAATGTAAATGCAGCTGGTATGATTGCTCCTCCTATGGTGGTTTTTCAATATCAAAGAATGCCTCCCCATGTTGTAAATAATATGCCAGAATCTTGGGCGGTTGGAAAAAGTGAATCTGGCTGGATGACTGGTGAAACCTTCTACGAGTATGTAACCAACATTTTCCATCCATGGTTGCTAAAAAATGACATTACTTTACCAGTTATTTTTTTTGTTGATGGGCATAGTAGCCACTTAACCTTAGCATTAAGCCAATTTTGTTCAGAAAAACAAATTATTCTTGTTGCACTTTACCCAAATTCGACTCACATAATACAGCCACTTGACGTCTCAGTTTTTCGAACTTTGAAAAGAGCTTGGAAAGATGAAGTGGGACGCTGGCGAATTAACAATCATGGTGCTAAAGTTAAAAGAGAGAATTTCGCTGCAATCCTGAACGATGCAATAAATAAATCAGTAACTTTAAAAATTGTAGAAAATGGATTTCGAACCACAGGTCTATGTCCATTTGATGATAACGCCATTAAATATGGAAAATATTTTAAGGAAAATCAAGAAAATAAAGGGAAGGTCGTAGTCCCTCCTAAAGATGATGGATATAAAAAATTTAAATCTGTGTTTAATCAATATCTTGAACCTGAGTTATTAGCGTCATTTAAAGAAAATAATTCGGCAGAATGGCTAGGAGACGTAAAGCACACCTCCCTGTTTTATCTGTGGAATAAAATAGGAGGAAATGAAAATGAAGGTATTGAAAATTCGGGTGTTAACAAGGAAATTCATGAAAACTTAAATGACGTTATCAATGAAGACAACATTGGAAACGACGAAGTTATAAACTATGATGAAAGCCAGTCAGATTCTGTACCAGAAAATGGGAATAATTTAAATAACGAAATGAATATTGATACTAACAAAGATCAAGGTCCAGAGACAGCTGAAGCTAGCACAAGTCAAAACCACACCACAGGCACGCCTCTAAAAGATGTACCTACGCCATTTAAACAATGTTTGTTCTGGCCAGTAAAAAAACCCACCAAAAAATTAAAGCGTACTACGAAAGAGAAGGTGCCTTCAGTTGCGTCATCAACACAATGGCAAGAATATTACAAAAAAAAACAAGAAGAAAAAGATCAAAAAGAACGGGAAAAAGAAGAGAGAAAACGCAAAAGAGAAGAAAATAAAGAGAATAAAAAACTCAAAAAGAAAAAACGTCCATCCACTGGTCCCAAAAGAAGAGTTTTAGATGATACATCTTCTTCAGATTCGTCAGTAGAAGTAGAAGTTCAATCTGAGGAAGAAACCTATTTTCAAATAAATGAACTTTCACCAAAGTGTGATAGCAAGGATTTGAACATCGGCGATTATGTTATTGTCATTTATGAAGGAGAATTTTTTCCAGGTCTGATACAGAAAATAAATAGCACCAGTGCATTTGTTAAAGTTATGGTAAAAAGTAATATTAATACTTGGAAATGGCCAGTTAAGGATGACATTTTGTGGTACGAATTTAAGGATATTAAAGAAAAAATTGAAGAGCCAATGCCAACAAATACCCGCGGCATGTTTCGAGTGGCGGAATTACTAAAATATAGTGTGTATTTTTAAAATGTCATTTATTTTTTCATTTTTGATCAATAAAATTTTGTATCAATAAAATTTTGTATTAGCATGTTTGTTTACTTTTTATTATAGTGTCAGGTATTGGATATTTTATTGGGGTAGGGTGTCAGGTATCGGATATTTTATTGGGGTAGGATCATTTTGGGTATGTCAGCTATTGGTGAAAATAATGCGTTACAAAATATATTTTTTTAAAACAAAGGATATAGTTTTAAAGTTCTCAGAACGCTTTTGTATGTCTCTAAAACTCAAAAGCAACTCACTGGAACGCGGATAATCACTAATTCCCATAACTGCATTTTTTACATAGATTATGTATTAAATTTTCACTTAATGTGTCAGGTACTGGTGCCACTAGAAGATATTTCAATGCGAAATGTGATTTTGTCAAAATTAAAAAAACAAAAAAATTTTAGTTGTACTTTTAAATTTTAAGAAATAAATAGGTAAACCCTACTATATATAGTATATATATATACTACTATAGTAGATATATATTTAGTAAATAATTAATAATCAAAATAAATGTATGTAAAAAAGTAGAATATCAAAAAAAAATTTGTTAGTTAATCTTTGCAGAAACACATACATATATCTGGCATTAAAATATCGGATATAAGAATAAATAATTATTTTTACCAGTGCATAAAGGGCTTTTGGTTTAATAATTAATAAAACATATGTTTTAAGTTGCTCAAAACATTTATTATAAAATCAAACACATTAAATTTTAAGACAGATGACAGGTCAATATTTTAGGAGCTTATGTAGGTACTTCATTTAGGTGTTATGCATGTCATGACTTCGTTACGGAATATACTGAGTAATTAAAACATTAATAAACAAACAAAAATTGACCTACCTGACACAGTCAAAGTATTATCAGTATAAATGGTTTGTTCTATGTATAAATGCCACAGATTATAAAAGTTGGACGCTTGAATCAACCATATTGTTTTTTAGGAATAAACGTTCCCTCGCTTTGTAAGTAGTGCCAACTTACCCAAGGCCAAAGAGAAACAGGGTTGCCAGGTGAAAAAATTAATATTATCGAAGAGGGTTGACAAAATGATCAAATTTACAGAAAATTATATAAAATTATCAAAACAAAAATTGTATAAAAACAAGCAAAACTACGCGGCGGATTAAATTATGTTACAATTATCGATTATTATTTAAATTTTACTATTTTAAAAAAGAAAATTATAAAACATCTGGCAACACTGTAGATAAATAATTTTACTAAAATTAAACTGCAGTAACATGTTAATTTCTTATTTTGTGATAAAATCGCGAATTTGTTTTAAAAAATCCATTGATCAATAATTATAATTATTAATCTATCTTAGTTTAAAACCAAATAATGTTTAAAATTATTTTAATAAAATATTGCACGTTGATTCTCCGTCGAAATAACGTAAATTAAATAAAAATAATAATTTTTGTTTTTAAAAATATTCCAAAACTTTTTGTCGGCCCATTAAAACGGGCCAACTGTTTCTTATTAATTGTCACTATATTTTCATATTTTCTTAAAAATTTCGTCATCTGTTCACGTGATAATGACGTCATTTATTGGTTATCATCGACCTAAGTTAATAATTGGTCGTGTTTTGGTGAATTTTGAGACGTCGAAAAATGGTTGAAATGTAACTTCGACCAAATTCGACCCAATTCGTCGACGATTCTACGTGATTTCTACGACCCTGTGTTGCCTGGGAGTTCGTGCTCTGCCTGTGCCTTTTGAAGACGTGTGGTTTCAACAGGATGGATGTCCCGCACATAACACTCTGTTGGTCAGAGAATATTTGCAAATCACTTTTCCAGAACGGATTATAAGTGGTCACGGAAATATTCTTTGGCCAGCAAGATCACCGGACTTGGCTCCGTGTGATTTTTTTATGTGGGGGTATGCAAAGTCAAAAATGTATGGATTTCAGCATCTTAGGGCCAATAATCTTGATGAATTAAGAGCAATGATTATTGATACATTAAGAAATATTAACCCTAATATGCTGTCAAATGTCCGTCAAAATTTTTACAACAGGTTGACGTATTGTTCGGCAGCTTTTGGGCAGCTATTTGAACATTTGCTTTAAATTATTTTTTCTTTACGTTTTTTAGAATAATTTTTTATTTGAGAATATTTATTTTTTTATTACAAGAATATTATTGTTTATTTTCCACATTTCCTAAGAAATATTTGCAAGGAATTTTTGTTTCTGTAAACAAAATCATAATAAAATATTTACGTTGTTTTATAACAACCGACTACACCCTACCTCAGTCGTAATGAAACTGACACTAAATAGTGGCAAATCTCGAACATGTCGAGTGGGCGGGACCCGCCCGGCGGGTAACGCAGATAGTTAAAGAAGGGGAAGCAAAACATTGGCGTGTAATAGACCGTTTTGATTTAATTGTTTTAAAAATTTCTACTGCACGCTCATGACGGAGGGGAATCACGTTTGTTAACCAGTCGATGGTTGTTAATCTCACTCTTTCGTACGTTTTATATTGCATGCATCTTTGTCACAATTTGGCCTAACTGTGCATTATTACCACTGTATGTCATCTGTTTGCATGGCTACTACCCTGATTGCTACCAACAATGTTCTAGTGAAATCAAGAAAATTACTAAAATTCACACATAAGAAACCCGTAAGTTGAGATGATTTTAACTTTACGTATTGTTTACGGTCACCCATAAGATCTTATGTTCGAACGTAAAACGTAAAAATTACGGCTACGGTACTCATTATAAACAGGCACACTAGTTTTGATAATATTCAACTTTACGTTTTACGTATTTCTTACGGACATCTTATGGTTACGTCCATTATGAACATACCTCGCGTGTTGCTTCCGATGGGAAAGGTGTACCTATGATACATTCCCATCCAGGATTTAGCCAGCTTAGGCCAGACTACAGACTACAGACCACTTCCATTTCTGTCTATCTCTGATTTCTGTGGATCAGAATTAAATCAGACTCAGAGGCCTATTCTCTTTCTTGCTGTTCGTAAACATCGATTTCTTAACATGTATGTTCACCCATCGACATCCCAAACATCAGCTATAGCCCTTTCTCATATGTTGAAAGTCTTGACCTTGGATCTTTCTGAACAGCAATAAATGTTTCTAGGACAGAGAGTATCTTAGTTTTATATCACAAAACTAGTTTTGTGTTTTATATGTATATATATACATATCACTATATTTGTATATTAGGGTGGAGCGAAAAAAAGAAAAATTTTTTTTTCCTTAGCCTTGGGGTGGAATTTGTAGCCTATAAAAAAAGAAAATTTTTAAAATAAAAAAAAAATTTTTACTCAACGTCTTGAGGTGGCCCACTGAGTTTTGAAATTAAATTTAAGTTAAAATTCTTTTGAATAAAAAAAAAATTTCAAAAGTGTTCCGGAAACTGCGGAGTGTCCTCTTTCTTGCTAATTAATAGTTATGAACTTAAAAAAAATGTTGTGGTCATTATTGTTGTTTTTAAAAAAATTCCAAAATAGTAACATGCTTTTCTGAGGCAATAGAGCGAATTTCGAGTTGAAGATTACAAGCCAAAAAAAATTTTTTTTTATTCAAAAGAATTTTAACTTAAATTTAATTTAAAAACTCAGTGGGCCACCTCAAGACGTTGAGTAAAAATTTTTTTTTTTATTTCAAAAATTTTCTTTTTTTATAGACTACAAATTTCACCCCCAGGCTAAGGAAAAAAAAATTTCGCTCCACCCTACTGTATATATATATATGTATATATATATATGTATATATATATACATATATGTATATGTAGGGGAAAGCGGGGCACATTCAACCAATTCTCTAAAGAAGGAATGTAAAAATGGTGTTTATTAAACTTGTTCTTTGTTGGCTTGTGCTAATGAAGCATATACTCTTTGGTTACTATTGCCAAGAAAAGTATGCTTCTAAATTTATTTTCAAATTAGAAAATTTGCATTTTAAAAAATATCTGCAAATGGTCGATAGTGCCCCCCCGGTGAGGTACCTTCAACCACTAAGTGAGGCACTTTCAACCAAGACCTAAATACAAAAAAACTATGTACATTTTTGCTCAATCACTATATTTGGTAACTAAAAATACATTCTTTGGTTTACACGGAGAACCAGCGCCGTAGCTACAATGGTTCCGTGGGTTCGGTGGAACCAGGCCCGCTAGCTCAAGGGGCCCGCGGCCAGCGATTGGAATAAATTTTTTTTTCTTTAAATATTTGGATTAATTTTTTTAAATATATTTCAACATTCACAGGGCATTTATTTATAATAATGGCTTAAGGCTTAGTAAATAGTAAAAGACCACCAATAATAATAATAATAATAATAATTTTTGCTTGAATCATGTAAAAGCGAGTCAAAATTAAAACTTAAAAAACTATCAACAACCCGTTGGTCTTCACGCAATGATGCAATGAAGCCCTACGTTTTAAGTATCTTGATGTTCTTAAGGCCTTGTCAAAAATTATTTTAACATCTAATAATAAGACTGAAATAGACGACTCGAAGGATTTAAAAGTACATTGGAGGACTTTGAAAGTGTTTTTGATTATTTTACAATCTAACGTTTTAAATCGCATAGACACAGTATCAAAACTCTTACAAAATCAGCAGCAAGATATCCAAAAATCTAGTAAACTTTTAAAAAATGTGTTAAATCACATAAGCAAACTTCGGAATGAATTTTTAGATAAAGAGGCCACCCTATTAAAAATGCCATATAGAAACACAAAATAAAAATCTATATGGTTCTATCTGGTTCAATATAGGAATTTGAAACAGGCATTGCACTATTGAACCAGATAGAATTCCATACCTGGAAAACCATATAGAAAAGTGATTTCTATATGGATTGCCATATAGATTCATATTGCTCTATCTGGCCCAATATGGTTTGGGTGTGAAAAAACTATTACCATATAGATCCATATTTAACCATATAGGGAAATCTATATGGTTTA